TGCTGAACCTCTTAGAGGTGGCTGTGGGGGTGGGAGCATGTGGGCGTCGGGTGGTAGGGATTCCTCCTGGGCTTGCAGAGCCACAAACCCCTTTTCTGGTTTCTAGGCATGGCCATCATGTCCTGGAAGCTTGGGCCGTCTATGTACCTTTCATGACTACCTGGCTGTGGCCACCATCACCCATGACAGGAATAGGCGGGAAATCATGACTTGATGGGTTCCAGCCTCATTCTCATGTCCTTGGTGTACCTTTTTTTTGAGTCCAGGTTCTGGTGCCCTACAGACACTGGAAGCTCCAGGAGAGCAAGGCTGTGTCTGTCTCATCCAGTGTAATCCTAGCTCTGCCTGGTGCATGGGGCACTTGGCTTAAATCTCTCAAATGATTGCTTGGACTTGAAAAGATGGCATGAAAACTAAGAATTTAGGGAACCAGCAGTTAGCATAATGACTATGTCGTTGGACTCCCACGTAGTCAACCACAGTTTGTGTCCCGGACCCGGTGGCTTAAAACTCACGCTGGGCGCGTGTGCGTGCATGCCCAAGATCCCGAGAGGAGAATGGAGGAGAAGGGATTGCGGTGTGACCATCCCCCCTGGGGGGTGATTTCTCGCTTTCTGTCTCTATGTCTCTCTCTGTCTGTCTGGCGAGCGCACGCGCCCTACAGTGAAAATCTCTCCAAAAAAAAAACCTAAGAATTTAGACTTTATTTATTTATTTACTTTCATCATCTTACACTGTGGCCCAAGCTCTTGGTTTTGTCTGCTGTTTTGTTACTGACATCATTAGTATTAATATAAAATAAGAAAGCATAAAGGGGGGGAAAGTGGCAGCATCAGATTTTTTTTTTTTTTTTTTTTGTGCGGTAGGGCTTGTGTGCTTACCAGAGAGGTAGAGACAGAAAGTGAGAGATCACACCCCAGGGAGGATGGCCACACCACAGTACCTTCTGCTCCATTCTCTTCTCAGGACTTTGGGCACACATGCACATATGCCTAGTGTGAATTTGAGCCATGGGTCTGGTTGACTACATGAGAGTCCAGTGACATAACCATTACGTCATCTGCTAGCCCCAGAATGATTTGTTTTTAATGCTTTATGGACTGAATCTTGCTGACCAGCATCTTGGGACCAGGCACAACTCTTCCCAAGTTGTTTGTTGTCCATTTCAGATGTGCTTTGGAATTAACAATTGGCTATCTGGCTCATCAGGGGAGTAAATGTTGGCTTTATAGAATAACCATGCGTTCATGGTTCAATAGATGGTGCACCTTTGTACATGGATAGGATTTTGTGACTGACTGTCATCTTGGGGCCAGGCACTCTGCACTGATTTTCACAGCTGCCCCATTTTACATACAAGGAAACACAGTTTAGCTAGTTTGGGAAACTTGCCATTAAGTGTGACTGTCCCATCCTCAGTAACGCCACACTGACTCCATGAGCACTCAGCATTTGCTGAGCACCTCAAGACCAGGCATGGTGCTGAGCACGTGACCTAACCTAGGATGTATAATTGCACAAGTATTCTGTGTACCTAGGATTTATGGAAGCTGTGTTTTGAAGCACGCCATTGCTAGGTTGAACATAACATTTTTCTTAGAATAAAGCACATTATACAAACTATAACCTGACAGACAATGCACACGGGGAATTGACACCAGTAGCAGTAGTTGCTGTTTTCCTAAGGCCTCCTGAAATTCAGCACACATCCCTGCTTAAATTGGTCTTGAATGTTTTCGGACAAATTCCATCATTTGTTTAAGGCTTCTACTCCACAACCCTTGCTCTTGTAGACTGTAAGATGAGGTTCTAATTATTAGAGTAAAGCATGTTTATCAAAAAAAATTTGAAAATCAGAGCTGCACAAAGAGGGAAATTAAAATCACATATAATACACCATCTAGATAGAACTATATGTAATGTTTTGGGACTAGCCTTCCAGGTTTTTCTTGTATGTAGTTGAGATAATTTTTCATGAATGTTATGTATAACCATAACTATTTAAAACATGTATGACTTCTTCTCAAAGTGTAAATTAACTTCCGCTTCCACATTTTCTTTTTTCTTTTTTGGAGAGGTTTTCGCTACAGGGCACATGTGCTCGCTAGAAAGAGACACAGAAAGCGAGAAATCACCCCCCGGGGGGATGGCCACACCGCAGTCCGCAGTCCCTTCTCCTCCATTCTCCTTTCGGGATCTTGGGCACGCACGCACATGTGCCTGGCATGAGTTTTAAGTCACCAGGTCCAGGCCTCGAACCACAGTTGATTACATGGGAGTCCAGCAACATAGCCATTACGCTAACCGCTGGTCCCCACATTTTCTTTTTGTTTTTATGTACATTCTCATTGTATTTCATATTGTAAAATCTTTTAACAGTACAGATAAGTTTTCTCTGACACCATTCTGTCTCCTTATTGAAAGAACACTGCCACTAATAAATGAGAATTACTCTTCTTTTATAAGGAGGATAAATTCCTATAACATAAATTAAACAATTAACCATTTTTAAGTATGTAATTTAGTGACTTCTAGTCTATTCACTATGTTGTGAAGCCATCACCAGAATTCTATTTTTATATACGTATAGAACTATGTGGTTTTATATGTCTTTACTTAAATGCTTTCATTGTGCGTGTGTGTGTACAGTTTTGCACCTTTTTCATTTTATGTTGAAATTAACTTCATTTTAAATGCCCAATATTATATTTATGGTAGTCTCAAAATTTAGTCAGTTTCTAGATGAACATTCAGGGTTTTATACACAATTAAAACCATTGCTTCTTTTGGGTATGCTTTCTTGTACATATATCTTTTTGTACATATGCAAATCTTTTGCTAGGCCAGGCAACATAGAAGTAGAATTTATATGTTAGTGGTTATGTGCATTTTCAACTTAAATAGAATTTTTTCCATTTGTCTTCATAAAAAGTTATTCCAGCAGCCGGCAGGTGGTGTGGTGGTGAAGGGCGCTGAACTCCCACATGGCCGACCATGATTTGAGTCCCAGACATGGTGACTTCCTTTCTCACCCACCCCGTCCTATCTCTGGTCAAATTTAAATAAATAAATACCAAAAAAAGCTACTCCAAATTGCTGTTCCCTATAGTAAGTTGAGGGTGTCCTTTCCCCCTATACGTTTGCCACTTTATATTTTTCACTTTTTAAAGACTCTTGCAAATTTAGTCATTGAAAAATGGAATTTCATTGTTTTGATTATTAGACTAACCATTAATAAAAATCAATTGCTCTTTTTACCCACATCTATATAAAGTTTATACTGCAGAGTAAAATAGAGTTGGCACTGGATCTCAGTTGGCTTTTTTGGCACAGGTTCCAAATAACACGTAGCCTTTTTTATTACTGTTTTAAAAACAATAAAGCTCTAATTTTATTTCTTTGATATCACTGTGCCTCAGATTTCACCAATTCAAGCTAGCCTTATGCCACATATCCTGAACTCACTAAAGTAAAGAGCCAAGTCTCAAAAGTACTTCATGGGGAAATGATGCCTGTGTTTTCAGGTACTTCATGGGGCAAATGATGCCTGTGTTTTCCGGTGCCCCACAGAAGCCTGTTGGGATCTGCAGGATGCATGCAAGCCTACCTCTCCGTACTCCACTCTGTGAAGAAACACTTTTTTCAAGAACAAAAATTTCTAGCAACTGTGACTGTAGACTGTTGCCCCTTACATTTAGGATTACAGAAGTATCAGGGATCACTTTGTATCGTCTGAAGCTACAGACACTTGATAAAGTAGGGCAAGGATATC